CAATGGCCCAGTCCCACAAGCACAAGTGGCAAATGAGAATCAGGAGGATTATCTTGGCTGCAGAGCCCCCTCCCCCACCTGAGGAGTGAGGGGTCCCAGCTCCACGTGGGGCTCCCAGCCCAAGGTTCCAGACTGGTAAGAGAAGTCTCCACAACCTCTGGCTGTGAAAGACAGCAGAGGTTATGGCTGAAATGGAGGGCTGCAGTAATCACAGACATTCCTCTTAAAGGGCCTGCACCCAGAGTTACTCACTGGACTAACTCGCTGAGATCCAACACTAGGGAAGCTGCTCCAGAAGCACCAGGGACATATGGAGAGACAGAGCTGCCGAGTTTTAGGGCAAGGGCTGGAGGGGCAGCATTCTCCCAGACAGATGTGCTGGTAGTTTCCCTTGTTCCTTTGTTGAGTCCTCCCCCCCTCCTAGCCTGGGGACACAGGGGCCACCATATCTGAGCCTCTATCAACCTGGATTAACACAGGTCACTCCACCCAGGTGATTCCCTGAGACTCTGCCCCTCCCAACTTGGTGGCCCACCCAAGATGCTGCCAGTGGTTTATTCCATACAAATAGGCTGCCTTGGCTCTTGCTGCACTTTCCTAAAATCTCTCAAAAGCTCATAGAACCCAAAAAAAACATCTGGCCTAGTGTGCCCTATACCTCTTGCTGAGCAGTCCCCAACCCTGCACTAGTGGCAGCCGGCCTAAGTTTCTGCCTTGGCCTCTTGAGGAACCTATATGCCCAGCACAGGTGGTAGCCATCTCTGGATTACTTGGTGACTCTTACAAGGTGGCCCCAGAGGTGCACAGGCTGCTGCTGACCCCGGCCTACAGCCAGACCCTTCCCAGGAGGCCCTTGGGCCAGCCCACCCAGTGGCCTGCTTTGACCAGCATGCCACAGCAACACCCAGTACTGCATCTGAGGAGGACAAACCCAAAGGGCAGACTGGACAGGCACCAGAGCCCTGCTAAAGTGAATCCTGCTTCATAGGGTTGGCCCCTCATCGGCCAATCCTCACAATCAGCCCAAGAGTCAATCCCTCCCATCGACATGCAAACAGCAACCAAGGTTCAATTAGAACAGGAGGGCACACACAAGGGACACTCCTTGAGCACCTCGCTCAGATGACCAGGGAAGACTGTGCCACTGGACCCCATAGGACACCTACTACATTAAACCACTCAACTAAAACCAGGACCCTCAGGAGCCCTACCTAATACACAGAAACAAACACAGGGAGGCAGCCAAAACGAGAAGACAAAGAAACATGTCCCACATGAAAGAACAGAGCAAAGCTCCAGAAAAAGAACTCAACAAAATGGAGACAAGCAATTTACTAGATGCAGAGTTCAAGACACTGTTTACAAGGATTCTCAATGAACTTAGGGGAAGAGAGTAGATGAACTCAGTGAGAACTTTAACAAAAAGAAAACATAAAAATAGAGATGGAAAACATAAAAGGGAACCAGTCAGAAATGAAGAATACAATATTTGAGATGAAGAGTACATTAGAGGGAATCGACAGTGTATGATGGAAAGGATCGAATCAGCAATTTAGAGCAGCAGTCCCCAACCTTTTTGGCACCAGGGACTGGTGCTCCTATGAGAATCTAATGCCTGATGATCTGAGGTGGAGCTGAGGCAGTGATGCTAGCGCTGGGGAGTGGCTACAAATACAGATGAAGCTTTACTGGCTCACCCGCTGCTCACCTCCTGAAGTGTGGCCCGATTCCTAACACCTAACAGACCACAGCCCAGGGGTTGGGGACCCTTGATTTAGAGAATGAGGTAGTGAAGGACACCCAATCAAAACAGAAACAAGAAAAAAGAATTCAAAAAAGTGAAGATGGTTTAAGGAGCCTCTGAGACAACATCAGCATAACAACATTCGCATCATAGGGGTACCAAAAGGAAAAGAGAGCCAAGAAATTAAAAAACTTATTTGAAGAAATAATGATAGAGAACTTCCCTAACCTGGTGAAGGAAACAGACTTCAAGCCTAGGAAGTTCAGACAGTCCCAAACAAGATGAACCCAAAGAAGCCCACACCAGGACATATCGTTAAGTACAAAGAAAGAATCTTAAAAACAGAGAGAAAAGCAATTAATTAATTACTTACAAGGAAAATCCCATAAGACTGTCAGCCAATTTCCCAACAGAAACTTTGTGGGCCAGAAGCGCCTGGCACAAAATATTGTGAGTCATGAAAACCCAGGACTTACAACCAAGATCACTCTACCTAGCAAAGCTATCATTTAGAATCTAAGGACAGATAAAGAGCTTCCCAGACAAGAAAAAACTAAAGGTGTTCATCATTACCAAGCCAGTATTACAGGAAATGTTGGAGGGACTTAAGAAAAAAAAGCATGAATAAATAATGGCAATAACACATATCAACAAGTACTTCAAATGAAAAAGAATTAAATGTTCCAATCAAAAGACAGGGTAGTTGAATAGATAAGAAAACAAGACCCTTACACAGGCTCGCTTCAGATTAAAAGACACACACAATTGGAAAGTAAAGGGAGAGAAAAAGATATTTCATGATAGATCTAGGGGGTATTGTGCTAACTGAAGTAAATCAGGTAAAGACAAATGCCACATTTGTCTTTCATGTACATGTGGACTCTAAAAGAATAAAATTTTAAAAACGGAAACAAACTCATAGATACAGAGAACATTTTGAGGGTTACCAGACGGAAGAAGGGTTAGGGGGTGGTCAGTGAAAAAGGGGAAAGGGATTAAGAAGTGCAAATTGGTAGTTACAAAAGTCAAGGAGATATAAAGTACAGCATAAGGAATATAGTCGATCATATTGTAATAACTATGTACAGTGTCAGAGGGGACTAGGTTGGAATGATCGCTTCATTATATAGATTCTAATCACTATGTAGTACACCTGGAACTAATATACTACTGTGTGCCAACTATAACTGAAAAATTATTTTAAAAGAGGGCTAAGCATTAGCGGGCAAATAGAGCTGTAGAAATGTTTGCTGCCATCACCATCATCATCATGCTAGTTATTGCTACTGCAATTATTAGGTAAGAGGAAGTTATAAAAGGCTTTTGATCTGCTTGTTGCCCACAGTTTCTGGTGAAGTGAGGAGATATGGTAAGTGTCTGACTGGACTAGGCTGAAAGAATAGGCCACCTCAACCTTGACTCAAAGATACTGAGTCCTGTGGCTATTAATCACTCCCAGGGCAGAGAACCAGAGAAAAGAAACAGCTCGACTCAAATCTGCTCTCTATACTCTAACTAAAATTACTTACTAAAATACTTCATTTGCAAGTGATTTTTTGTTGTAGAGACAAGAATGTCTGACTGGACTAGGCTGAAAGAATAGGCCACCTCAACCTTGACTCAAAGATACTGAGTCCTGTGGCTATTAATCACTCCCAGGGCAGAGAACCAGAGAAAAGAAACAGCTCGACTCAAATCTGCTCTCTATACTCTAACTAAAATTACTTACTAAAATACTTCATTTGCAAGTGATTTTTTGTTGTAGAGACAAGAATTTAAAAAAAAAAAAAAAAAGGTCTGAATGTACATAAAAATTAGTTTGTCTGATGTGAAAAATCTTCTGATTGCAAAATGCAATTGCCCAAGGTGTGTCTATTAAAAAGCCCTTCCATCTCATTACCAAATCTAAGCATGTCAGCAAATGAGCACAAGACTCTAACACTGCTTCTCATGGGTTTGCAGCAGGGCAAAGCACACAGATCAGAAAGAACATTCTGCTAATTAAACTGAAGCAGATGACTACGGAAGAGAGGGGCTTGTCACACATAACATCTGTGCCAAGAATGATCAGATTAAATATGCAAAATGTGAAGTGAAGGTGTGGAAAAGCAGTAAAATGATACTCTAGGCTTTAAATAGGCTACAAAAGTTCTGACAGTTTTCCTAATTATTCCCAGTAATGGACACAGGAGGCCAAAAGGCAGGAGAGAGAAATACATTTTTCTCCATTATGGGTGTTGAGCACTAGGGCTAACATCATGCCTGTCTGAACACTGATCAGTTTCTGCAAAGGTTAATAGCAATTAAATGCAGCAAACTAGATTAAATGAGAAACAGGTCATGATACCACTGTACTTGCAAAGAGCACGATAAAGCATTTCTTTTAAATTTATCTTAATGCACAGGAAATCCAAAAAGAGCTGCTATGAGCAAAAGAACTTATTTATTAAATGGTAAAGCTCTTAAATGAAATAGAAATAATGACATGCTACACAAATTCAATTATCATCAGTATTGTGTTGTCGAGATTAAATACTAACAATGTCTAAAGGAGTACTTCCCTGAAAAAGAATGATATATACATTTCCTTCTTTTTCTAGCTGAATAAAGAATCCACCTTAAAATTTCAAGTGGGATATAACTGCTAAAATGAAAAGATGCACAGTGAAGCATAATATTGTCAGTAACACTATGCTTCTTCCAGCTTACTATATTCACATCAGAAGAATATAGTAAATTACTAAGTGATAATTAAGATTAAACCATCTGTGACTACAGCCAATATGATACTGTATATTTGAAAGTTGCTAAGAGAATAAATCTTACATGGTTTTGCAACAAGTGGGAAAAAATTAACTAAAATGGATGGTAACTAGACTTATGGTGATCATTTCACAATATGTACAAATACTGAATCATTATGTTATACACCTGAAACTAATATAGTGTTGTTATATGTGAACTGTGTCTCATTAAAAAAAAATTTTTTTAAAGATTAAAGTCTTAATATTCTGAGGTCATTCTCCAAACTTGATATTTTACTTTAGTATATAAATCCTGAAGTGTAAATATGAAACATATTAATGGTTGATTTTTCAAATTTAAATAGAAGCAGGTTTTTCTAAAAATCAAGTAAGCAATCACATGTACACACAAACACGCACACTCACTCTTTCAACACACACATAACCACATAACTCTCTACACAGTAAAGAAAATAAAAGGGGCAGGCTCAGAAAATGGAAATTCAATTTACTTTACTATCCTCGGGGTCTTCTAAACCATCAGGTCGACTAAGGTTTCGAGCAGGCTGGCTGCAGACAACATTATCTTCTAGTCCCCAAGAGGGTACTCTCACAGGGGGCCTTTGGATTTCATCTGGGTAAAAAGCACCATCTGCTCCATCTGAAATAAAATTTTTGCAAGGGAAGGGTGAAACCTAGTACTAAAATTAGAATCTCTGTGTATAATGAACAAGATATAAAGGGCCATTTTAATACATCAAAAAAATTTTATTTTTTAAAATAAGAACTGTATGTAATAAGCAAATAGACTACTCATTCATTCATGGCAAATCACATCTAGATGAAGCCTGTTAGTGTTAACATTAAAATTGCTTGTTATAATGTTTCTATTAGAGTTGACTGTACTAGCAGTTCTCTAATCCCACAAAGATATAAACAAAAAAACTCCATATTCAGCTATCCCCAAAGAAAAATGTTTTAATAACCTCTTGTCTCCTGTGTTGCATAAGGATTACCATATTGCAGAACTGGCTGTGTATCTGGTACTGCAGGAACATGACCATTTTGCTCCAAGCATGTGTTGAGACACTGTGACATCTGCTGAGGACTCTGGGAATTCTGACCTTCCATTTTCCCTTCTGCTTGACTTTCTGAACCCCTTTTAAGTTCCTAAAATTAACAAAAACAAAGGTGAATAAGCAATCAAATATTTTATAAGAGCAGCATTAAAAGTCTAACCAAAATTTAACAATAAAATTATTTCCCTATTACAGTACTTTCCCCTTATCCACAGTTTCACTTTCTGTGGTTTCAGTTAACCAAAGTCAACCACAGCCCGAAAAAATTAAATGCAAATTCCAGAAATAAACAATTCATGTTTTAAACTGCCCACAACGAAATCTCACGTCAGCCTGTTCCATCCTGTCTGGGGACAGGAGCACCCACTTCTAGCACGTCCACTCTGTGTACCCTGCCTATCTTTATTCACTTAGTAGCTGTCAGTTATCAGATCAATGGTTGTGGTATTGCAGTGCTTGATCCCTTATTATGCTTAATAATGGCCCCAAAGTGTAAAAGTAGTTTAAACTTTACCAGAGGTATGTAGGTACAGAAAAAACTCTTATTTACAGGATTCAATATTATCTGCAACTTTAGGCATCTGCTTGGGTCTTTGAATGCATCCCCACAGATGGGGGAAGGGGGAGAGCTACAGTATGTTTACACTGTACACTTGGAAAGACTGGCTTTCAACTTCTCATAAATACCCCTTCCAAATACGACAAAATTAGAAAGCAGAATTAAGACCAATGTATTTTCAAATTTGTGCCAAGAAAGCACCCTTTGGAAAATATCTCTTACAACTTGGCTATTAATAAAAATCAAAGGCCAAAAAACCATCCCAGATTGCTTCCCTAGTAAATTCTATCAAACATTTAGGAAACTTATTTATAAAAAATATTAATACAGGTGGGACATAGAAAACTAATCTTGTATAAACTCTTTCAAAAACTAGAGGAAAAAAACCTTCTCAACTTACTTCACAAGGCCATTATTATCCTGATACCAAAACCAAACAATGATATCACAATAGACCTCATCTTTCATGAATATTGACACAAAAATCTTTAACTCATTAAGAAACCAAATCCAACAATATTAAAAAAAAAAACAATACATCGTGACCAAGTGGGTTTTATCCCAAAAAAGCAAATTTAGTTTAACATCCAAAAATCAATGTAACTTACCATGTCACGGACTTAAGTCACAAAACACATGATCCACTGAAATATTTTATAAAATTCAACATTCATGATTTAAAAAATAAACATCTCAGCAAACTAAAAAGGAATTTCCTTAACCTGATAAAAGTCATACACAAAAACCTACAGTGAACTTTAATGGTTAAAAACTAAATGACTGTCCTAAGATCAATACTGGCAAGGATGTCCGCTCTTACCACCTCTACTCAACATTACACTGGAGATTCTAAAGAATAGATTAAGGCAAGATTAAGATTTAAAAGAACAGATTAGAAAGGGAAAAGTAAAACTGTCTTTTTATACAGATGACATGATCACGTATGTAGAACTATGCAGAACTAGAAGAATGAGTGAATTTAGCAAGGCTGCAGTATAAGGTCAATATATAAAATCCATTGTATTTCTACATATAAGCAACATACATTTGAAAAATAAAATTTTAAAAATTCCATCTAGATTAGCACAATTAAACACTTAAAAATAAATTTCACAAAAGATGTATAAGGCCTATACACTAAAAATAACAAATATTACGGAAATTAAAGAGAGCCTCAACAAATAGAGAAATATACTACATCCTTGGACTGGAAAATTTAATATTTTAATGCTATTATTTCCCCCCAAATTGATCTACAGATTCAATGCAATCCCAATCAAAATCCTATCAGGCATCTGTATAAATTGACAAGCTGATTCTAAAACACAGTAAAAAATGCAAAGGTCCTGAAATATCCCATTTTTTAAAAGCAGAACAAAGTTGAAAGACAACCTGATTTCAAGGCTTCTTATAAAAGTCTATAGTAATCACGAGTATACAGTATTGCCTTAAGGATGAAGGCACAGTTCAGTGGTTTGCAAACTTTTTCCATGGAGTATCTGATAGTAGATATTTTCACAGCCTTGAAGGATACAAGGTCTCTGTCACAAATACTTACATCCGCCTCTGCTGTTACTGCCATAGGTAAGTGTTATCTATGTTAGCATAGCCATATGCTAATAAAACTTTACTTACAAAAACAGACCACAAGACATTTTTGGCTTATAGGCCTTAGTTTACTGATGCCTGATATGAATCTTCTTATATTAACAGAAAATCTTCATTTTATTGAGTCCAAAAATTTACCCATACATTTAGTCAATTTTCAACAAAGCTATAAAAGTAATTTAGTGGAGAAAAAGTATGGTCTTTTAAACATATGATGCTAAAAACTAGATATCCATGTACAAATAAATATTGACTATGTATCATACCATACACAAAAATTAATTTTAAATACATCATAAATCTAAACATAAAGCTAAAACTAGTTATTATCCACTGAGAGAAAAAATAGAAAATCTTTGTAACCTTGAGTAAGGCAAAAATTTTCTTAAGACAGGAAACAAATAGCATTAACCACTAAGAAAAATGTTGCTAAATTAAAC